GATCATGTATGGAAATGTTCCACTGACATGTTTTCTTCATTGTATCTTATTCCTGTGTCCAATTAAATCTCTGTATCACTGCCGTGATTTACGAGAATAAACATCATTCATTCTAGACCGGTTTTCCTGTCCTAAAGCTCTTGCGCTCCTCGCCTGCAGCCGCTAGGAGGCGAAGGGCAGAGTACCAGACCAGCTCTGTCCGACCATTTCGCTGCGGTGAAACGTTGACTCATTTACGTGTCGCGGGTCTACAGACCTATTACATAGCGCTACGCTATGTTGACCCGAAAATGTAACTGAAATACAATGAAACCAATACTTTGAAAAGATTAATTTTAAAAAAACCATATAAAAAACTTTACCACAATTGATTTCTCAATGTCAACATTATCATGTATACCACAATGATTGTGTCAACTTAATATCCTTTATTCCTTGTAAAGTCATTGTTGTGAAAATATATTACTAGTTTTGTTTTCATAATATGTTTGTTTGCTCATTTATGTTATATAAATATTTCAGCTGAAAGGCGTCATGTTCTCATTTCTGAAGGTACCAAATTCAAGTTACAATTTGTTTTACCTCCTGGGTTACACGTGTGCGCTTTATGACAGTTTTGGTACTTGTATTAATACCTAGGTATGCTACAAAACATCTGCGATGTGTTGATCCTTCAGATAAATGTTACCTTGGTCCATAATTGGCAGCAAAAGGCGAGGGGGCGATAATCCCTAGCCGTCTCCACGAGCATCACACGTAACCACGGCTCCTGGTCAAACCTACTCGTTACATGAACCAAGAAAGGCACTCGTAGAGGTGGCTAAGAATCGAAGCTACCTCGCCTCCTTACATTTGGACTTGAGTAAGAGTATATATACAACAAAGTATCCGGAAAACCTACTTAAAGGTGTGCTAAGTTAAGGTAATGCGTTAGATGCACCTTGTATGCGTTTTATCCTGAAAATTTACTAACGTCATACATCAAATTTTAAAAATATTTATGGTTTTATTAACTGATATTATTATGATTTAATGAAGGAAGTATGTTAAAACTGTCTCAAAGGCAGCTGTAATTTGCTCGTAGTCGGATAGCTGATACACATCCAGCATGCCTCAAACCACAGTTACCTCCCCTATGTACCAGGAAGGACAATGACAGGATTTTTATAACATCATCATTCGTTTCCGACTCGTGCACCTCACGAAAGTCGTCACAAGTATAACAATTTTAATATTCAAACCGTATGGGGATTCCCAAGTTGTTTCTGGCAAGACAAGGGAACAAAACCGTAAAACTGAAATCCTTGCCTTATCTCTCTTTTGTTTACATGATCCCTGTCATCACTCATTAACAATGATCCTTTCTCCCTCAACAGAAGACGACCATGACCACCTATGGGCTAACCACTCTCCCCCTCACAATTTATGACGTTTTCAGAGAATAGTCTAGCTCTCTTTTAATATTCAATTATTGCCATGAAATCTATATAAATTACTCATTTAGTTATGAAATCTATTTACATTTTATCATACATTATTTACATAACTTCATATAATATTGATTCAACATACAACTAATAAAACCCATTTGTAACAGAAAATCACCATTATTTGGACATAATGGACGCACACACATATATTGGGCTGGCAATGCAAAAATCAGTGTGCATGTGAACGTTGATCAAATACAATATGGTATATCGTTTTGATTCACATGGATTCACAAAAATACATTGACGTACAGCATAAGTATAGTGTCCATATAAACCTTACATCAGGTGTTCATAAATAGGGTAAGCATGTCCTACTCTACTGGTATCCCTCCTCATACACACAACCTATGTGAATACTCGTAGTTACAGCCAATGACAGGTTTTCATGAACTCATTTTAAGATGTATGAATATTTAGATTTTGCAGATTAAAGAACAGACTCACATGTATCACGTAACTGGGTTGAAGTCAACTGCCTCTTTTTCCTTCGATCTTTATGTGGTGTTATATCCATTTTCCTCTTTGCATTTTTTTCTATAGCACATAATTGGTTAGCAATCATTTGAGATTCTGGCCCAAAGTTGTTCTCTCCTTCACCAGTTGCTGTATGACAGGAAGGTAGGCAAGTCTGCCTCATGAGCTCCAACAGATTCCAGGTACTCCATCTTGAACTGACCGATCTCAGCAAGTCTTCCCACAGCTAATGCAGGGGTTAACTGATTTTCGGGGTTAGGTTGGTTGGTTGGTTTGTTGTTTTACGCCGCACTCAGCAATATTGATTATTCCAGTTATATGAGGGCGGTCTGTAAATAATCAAGTCTGGGCCAGACAATCTAGTGATTAATATCATGAGCATCGATCCACGCAAATGGGGTCGATGACATGCTTCAACCAATTCAGCGTGCCTGATCACTCGATCCTGTTTGTCGCCTCTTACGACAAGCATAGTCGCCTTTTACGGCAAACATGGGTTGCTGAAGACCTATTCTAACCGCGGGTTAGGCAATTGCATCTGACCACAAACATTTTCTTCAGGATTTCTCCTTGCTGTCATTGTTATTGTTCTAACTTGCTCAAAAGTTAACTTACTAAGGGTTTTCTTTTTATGGCAATACAATGTCTTCACCAGATCCTGTTACAAAATTCAGTTGAAACTTTCCAGCTTGGTCTTGGCGTCCCACTGGCTTTCTAAACCTTTCTGTTCCTAATAACGTCTCTAGCAGTTTGTCATTGGATATGCCATAGAATTGTGGAACAAAATCATTTCCACCGCAACAGAGCATTACTGCAATTTTCATTCCAACGTGTCTGTCATTGTATGTCTTCTCCAAGATTTTTAACATTACAGTAATGTTAATGTCATAGATGCGATTTTGATTTTGAAGAATGACATAGACAGTATTTTTGAAAAGGTTGTTTTCCAAACGAGGCCAATAGAGGGAAACAGCAAAAGGTGCATGTGGATGGGCACTGCATCGATGTCTCCAGATTTTACGAAACGGGCAACTGCATCTAAGACTGTTTTGTTTGTTTGTTTATTGTTTAACGCCGCACTCAGCAATATTCCAGCTATATGACGGCGGTCTGTAACTAATCGAGTCTGGACCAGACAATCCAGTGATTAATATCATGAGCATCGATCCACGCAATTGGGATCGATGACATGCATCAACCAAGTCAGCGAGCCTGACCACCCGATCCCGTTAGTCGCCTTTTACGACAAGCATAGTCGCCTTTTACGGCAAGCATGGGTTGCTGAAGACCTATTCTACCCCGGAATCTTCACGGGTCTCTAAGACTGTGATTCACCTGATAGTTCAGTAGCTAGTCAACCTGCGTCTTTGCTGCTTCCCCGTTTCTTTGACGGATACCGATTTGTCTGGTAATGTGAGGAGTGTCTTTGTCATTCCGAAATTGTCACCATATGGGGGTGGAATGAGTAACACAAGAACATGCTCCAGAAAAAGGACACTTGGACATGTGAAGCTCACTGTCAATGTCAACTACAATTAATATTTGCTCCTAGTTGTATTAGCTTAACATTGTCAATCCTTTGCTTATCCACCACTGTGGTACTGAATAGATTGTCTTTACAACTGAAGTTCTTGACAAGAAATTCTCCAACACATCAAGTATGTCCGATGAGAGTGCTGTTTTGGGATTCGTGTAGGCATTGAAAGGAACAATAGACCATCCAAAGAAAGTGAACCACAGCGCAAAATAACATCTGTTACAGGTATAATATGCATAATGAATCTGAATCTCTTTTTGATCCATGTCCTGACTTTGTTGTTGACGTCTTTTCTGTCCATCCTCATGTGTCTGATTGAAGGAATCAGTCAATGCCATTCGGCGAGAGGCCGACTCTATGCTGGATCCAGCTGCCAACCCCTTGATTTCATCTTTGTGGTCCATTTCACAGGCAAAGTTGACATTACATGTTCCAACTGAAGATGTTTCCTTCATTCTCTGATAAAATGGACCAGCATTGTAATGCTCTGCAAGCAGTCTTGTGCAGAATGGTGCATACGAGCTGGCTCCATTGATAAATGAAACGACAAGTGATGATTTCACTGCAGCTAAGAGGAGGTCACATCAATTCGTTCCACCAAACCGTTCTGATTGACAAACAGCAACAACTTCATGACAATGGGACATCATGTCATAGTGCAGAGAAAATGTTGCATTAGATGATTTTCTTCTTTGATGATTGAAGTGTCCTATGTTAATCGATAAATTGTAAATATTGTAAATTCTTATTATTGTTATTAATTACACGAACATAACATTCATATTCAATATGCTATTGTATTATATCATCATTGTAAATATAATTCATAACTATTGTCTATTTTACTGTAAAAACATTAATATGTCATTGTAAATATTTATCGTTTGGTATGACTTTCTACAGATTTCGTTCTGTGTATGAATTCGTCATTATGATTTAACAGTTCTTTTACATTTCAGTTGATTGATAACTACATTTTCCTTATGTATCTACCTCATTTATCGCTCAGTTCTTACCTTTATTTACAGTTCAGTTTTCTGTAGAATGTATCTTCTTTGCTGTGTTCCATTTCCCGCCATTTTACTCACAGTCTGAGTTGACTTTTAGTTTCGTATCTCGCATTTAGGTTATTCAGTAACTTCAACCCAATTTATTATCGTCTTAATATTGGTTTTAATTATTCTTTTAGAGACTTAGTTCAATTAGGCTTGTATTGCTTTATATTTTGCTATATTTATTGTACCTTGTTTCGAATGAGTTCGTTGATGACGTCACTCATCAAAGGTGACAGTTGTAATCAGTTGAAGATTTGTTTTTCATCACGATCAGACGTTGATTTTACGGCTTCAGACACTTACTTATATTTTAGTTTAATTCAAATATGACTCCCTGTGATTGAGACATGATGTAAGAAAATGAATTGACCCAGTTGAATAAAGTCATACGCTAAGCTCCTGAAGCACAAGCTGTTTATACAGACACACGCAGTCACAATCTCAAACGTGCTGGAAACCTGATAGCGTGTTTAAATTTAGTGTGGAACGTGGCCCCAGCTAAGATGGCGAACATTCAGTTGTATCACTTCCCGGGAAGCCCGGCATGTCGTTCTGTCCGCATGACAGCCAAGGCTCTTGGTGTACCTCTGGAATTGAAACAACTCAACTACCACAACAAAGACCATCTTAGCCCAGAGTTTACAAAGGTTAGTTCCCCACAGAGACCCGGGTTGGGTCCCCATCACCCCAGTGCTGGTCGTGAAAAGGAAACTATCAGATTGTGTGGCCACGCACTCAAAAGTATCAGTCAAGGCTAAAAAAGGACCAGATGACCAGGTGACATGCCTCGATGGCGGACACCGTTGTCCATACTATCAGTCCCTGGTTTTCTAGTCCAGGCCGTGATTACCTCAAAATATTACTGTTGTTGTTGTTGTTGTTGGTTTGTTGTTTAATGCCGCACTCTGCAATATTCCAGCTATATGACGGCGGTCTGTAAATAATCGAGTCTGGACCAGACAATCCAGTGATTGATATCATGAGCATCGATCCACGCAATTGGGACCGATGACATGCATCACCCAAGTCAGCGAGCCTGACCACCCGATCCCGTTAGCCGCCTTTTACGACAAGCATAGTCACCTTTTACGGCAAGCATTGGTTACTGAAGACCTATTCTACCCCGGAATCTTCACGGGTCAAAATATTACTGATTGCGGCTGTAACCAATATTCAGTTTATCACTTCAGTGACATATTGCGCCTCAACCGCTGAACTTACCAACTGCTATTGCTATATTTGCTTACTTAAGTTTCCTTTGCATGTCTTTGTGTCGAAGGCCACCGGAGGGGCAGGATACGCTCACCTTTTCGCCTACTCCAGGTATCATTGCTATTTGATAGTTTTGTTTGTTTATTTGTTGTTTGACGCCGCAGTCAGCACTATCACAGCTATATGGCGGCGGTTTGTAAATAATCTGAGTCTTGACCAGACAATCCAGTGATTGACATCATGAACATCGATCCACGCAATTCGGATATGATGACATGCATCAACCAAGTCAGCGAGTCTGACCACTCGATCCCGTCAGTCGCCTCTTACGACAAGCATAGTCGCCTAATACGATAAGCATGGATTGCCGAAGACCTATTCTGCCCCGGTAGTTAGAAGTGATTCACATAAGGAAGAGAATATATGGATGTCAACTTCTTTATTATGAGGATCACAACGTTTCACACTTGAGTAATCATAGTTAAGTAATAGGTAAAGGACAATGGGCAAATGGGGTTGGTGGTAATTAGCACTGATAGATGTAAGCATGGACATAGCCTATTCTTACACCAATCAGTGCTAATACTATATATTCTCTTCCTTATCAGATATTGTGTTCAGTGCCAATTATAACAACATAACGTTGCACATGTACTTCGAATTTGATTCGTGTAATAAATATATCCCGGACAAATGGATATTTGTCCACTTTTGTGTAAATGTACTCAAGTGAGCAAACATCCCACTTTGCTGTCACGCGATGACTGGATGTCTGCAGAGATCCAGCAATGTGATATTAGTAAACACTGTGACATAACATGAGAAAACGTTCACTACCATTTGTATGTCAAGTATTATTTATTTTGTGCAAATATCCTTTTGCATGACCGCGTTTGTTCATGCAAACTTATTTCAGGAGCCTCTATTAAACACATATACAAATGGAAACTATGTACGAAGTTCCCTGTCAAATAATAATTCTAGTTGTACATTTCTAACGTATGTTTATGACATACTGTGAGTGAGATGAGCTCTGCTTGAACAGCATTGTATGTAAACCACAATGTCTAAGCTTACCCCTGAATTAAATTCCCACAATGTCTAAGCTTACCCCGAATTAAATTCCCACAATGTCTAAGCTTACCCCTGAATTAAATTCCCACAATGTCTAAGCTTACCCCTGAATTGAATTCCCACAATGTCTAAGCTTACCCCTGAATTAAATTCCCACAATGTCTAAGCTTACCCCTGAATTAAATTCCCACAATGTCTAAGCTTACCCCTGAATTAAATTCCCACAATGTCTAAGCTTACCCCTGAATTGAATTCCCACAATGTCTAAACTTACCCCTGAATTGAATTCCCACAATGTCTAAGCTTACCCCTGAATTGAATTCCCACAATGTCTAAGCTTACCCCTGAATTAAATTCCCACAATGTCTAAGCTTACCCCTGAATTAAATTCCCACAATGTCTAAGCTTACCCCTGAATTAAATTCCCACAATGTCTAAGCTTACCCCTGAATTAAATTCCCACAATGTCTAAGCTTACCCCTGAATTAAATTCCCACAATGTCTAAGCTTACCCCTGAATTAAATTCCCACAATGTCTAAGCTTACCCCTGAATTAAATTCCCACAATGTCTAAGCTTACCCCTGAATTAAATTCCCACAATGTCTAAGCTTACCCCTGAATTAAATTCCCACAATGTCTAAGCTTACCCCTGAATTAAATTCCCACAATGTCTAAGCTTACCCCTGAATTAAATTCCCACAATGTCTAAGCTTACCCGTGAATTGAATTCCCACAATGTCTAAGCTTACCCCTGAATTAAATTCCCACAATGTCTAAGCTTACCCCTGAATTAAATTCCCACAATGTCTAAGCTTACCCCTGAATTGAATTCCCACAATGTCTAAGCTTACCCCTGAATTGAATTCCCACAATGTCTAAGCTTACCCCTGAATTAAATTCCCACAATGTCTAAGCTTACCCCTGAATTAAATTCCCACAATGTCTAAGCTTACCCCTGAATTAAATTCCCACAATGTCTAAGCTTACCCCTGAATTAAATTCCCACAATGTCTAAGCTTACCCCTGAATTAAATTCCCACAATGTCTAAGCTTACCCCTGAATTAAATTCCCACAATGTCTAAGCTTACCCCTGAATTAAATTCCCACAATGTCTAAGCTTACCCCTGAATTAAATTCCCACAATGTCTAAGCTTACCCCTGAATTAAATTCCCACAATGTCTAAGCTTACCCGTGAATTGAATTCCCACAATGTCTAAGCTTACCCCTGAATTAAATTCCCACAATGTCTAAGCTTACCCCTGAATTAAATTCCCACAATGTCTAAGCTTACCCCTGAATTGAATTCCCACAATGTCTAAGCTTACCCCTGAATTAAATTCCCACAATGTCTAAGCTTACCCCTGAATTAAATTCCCACAATGTCTAAGCTTACCCCTGAATTAAATTCCCACAATGTCTAAGCTTACCCCTGAATTAAATTCCCACAATGTCTAAGCTTACCCCTGAATTAAATTCCCACAATGTCTAAGCTTACCCCTGAATTAAATTCCCACAATGTCTAAGCTTACCCGTGAATTGAATTCCCACAATGTCTAAGCTTACCCCTGAATTAAATTCCCACAATGTCTAAGCTTACCCCTGAATTAAATTCCCACAATGTCTAAGCTTACCCCTGAATTGAATTCCCACAATGTCTAAGCTTACCCCTGAATTGAATTCCCACAATGTCTAAGCTTACCCCTGAATTAAATTCCCACAATGTCTAAGCTTACCCCTGAATTAAATTCCCACAATGTCTAAGCTTACCCCTGAATTAAATTCCCACAATGTCTAAGCTTACCCCTGAATTAAATTCCCACAATGTCTAAGCTTACCCCTGAATTAAATTCCCACAATGTCTAAGCTTACCCCTGAATTAAATTCCCACAATGTCTAAGCTTACCCCTGAATTAAATTCCCACAATGTCTAAGCTTACCCCTGAATTAAATTCCCACAATGTCTAAGCTTACCCCTGAATTAAATTCCCACAATGTCTAAGCTTACCCCTGAATTGAATTCCCACAATGTCTAAGCTTACCCCTGAATTGAATTCCCACAATGTCTAAGCTTACCCCTGAATTGAATTCCCATGGGCGAGAATATTTTCCTTTTGCACAAAACTCATGCTTTTGTTTTGCAAATACATAACGGTGTGTCTACAAGTATCATGACACATAACTCAATACATTTTAACTTAATTCGACAAATATTTGGCGTGAGTCAAATATTTCGTCCGCAAATTAGTTGAATTAACAATTGCAAAACAAAAAACAAGAGTTTTGAGCAAAGGAAATCATTCGGGGCAGGCCCAGGGGCGACATAAATGTTTGAAAGTTAAAGTTTTTGAAACGTTTTTTTCTTATTTAATCTTCCTTGGTATATAACCATGAAGACAGCACATTTTTGTAAATACCTTTTACCGAGATCGGCCACAGAATTCGGAGGTTGTGGACAAATGGGATTCCAGAATTAATATGGGACGTGTTAAAGAAACCTATGATTTGTCAAACCTTATGCAGACAAGGCTTCAACAGTTCGGTGGTAGGGCGTAGGGTATAAGGCACAGCAATTCGTGTGTAGAATGGCCTTCCTTGCTAGTATTCGGTTAGTGGAGGGTTCGAATACTAGATTCAGTGTCGTTGTGCTCGCTGGTTTAGTCAGAAGCATACTCGCGAATGTGGTTTTCAAGAAAAGATAAACGGCTGCGGTTTTGCGTTACTTTTGGTCACCCACAACACCCAACTTCCCACCTCATTCATTAGCCAGATGCGCTGTGGGGAAACCAAACTTCTGTAAAGCCCAATTCCCTCACTAGTTATATTGTGACATATTTCAGATAAACCCAGATCAAACCAACCCAACAATTATAGATGGACACTTCACGCTGTGGGAAAGGTAAGGCGCACAACAGTGGACCGCCCAACCTTTCACCTGTACAAGTATCCACTCTAGTGGTAATGGTAACTCATAAAGCAGCCTTCGTGCTAAAGCTATTGCAAGTATTGTCTGTGGTATTATGACATTCGTAACTCTAAGATTGGTTTGTCGAGTTGACTCTGTGCTCCGAGGATGCATACTGAAATACTCCGTACAATGACTAATCTACAGTAATGTACTTTAGCTTACAAGTAGTCCTTCATTCATTACTATATACATTATGGTTTTTTTTACGATATTGTAACTCTCATCACTTGACACAATTGTATCCACAGCCGCGCCATCATGCGCTACCTGGTGGGGAAGTTTGGGGGTGAGGACAACAGCCTGTACCCCCGGGACCTTCAGAAGAGGGCAGAGGTGGATCGACTCCTGGACTATGATCTGGGGGTCTTCCGCAGAGCCATGTGGGACAATTTGGTAAATTATGTGTAATTTTGCAATCACTTTATCATTTCACATTCCCTTACTTATCAACCCCCCTCACCATACTGAGAGACACTTATAGTCCATCACATCGGGATTACGGAGAATAACCCATACGAAGTCGGGTCACTGTGGAACAGAAGACCATGTACTCAAACAAAAGAACACGTCCTTTATACATGGGAACTCTGTCATGTAATTACCTTTCTCATTTCAGATGCTTCCCTTAAGAAGCAGAACAAGCCTTAAGACGACCAAACAACAAGACGAGAATGTCATGAAGGCTTTTGGGCGTATTGATACACTGGTCAAGGATAAGAAGTTCCTCACCGGAAATACCCTCACCATTGCCGACTTTGCGGTGGTAGTTGGGTTTGCAGCTGAAGTCATCTATCCAGGGGATATGTCGAAGCACCCCAATGCCATGGCTTGGTACAAAAGAATGCAGGAATTACCATACTACCAAGAAGTGAATCAGCCGTTTTATGACTTAGTGGAAAAAATGAAGAATTCAGTGGCTGAAAATTCCTAGCATGTTAATGGTACAGTATTATGTGCAAATCCATTGAAGTTTACTGATGATGACATAAGATAATGATTAACAATACAGTAGAAGAATTACATCTTGTGTCAGTAATTAAATCATTCATCTACATAAAGCAAGGATGTGCTCTCAGTATCTGCTCTATCCAATGTTAGTGGCCCAACTGCTCATAAACCAACAGTAATCTTCGGAGTAAATACTGGATGACAGGTCAAGCAAACGCGTCCCCTGATATATATGTTCCCGTTATCTTCCAAGCAGTATATATTTCAGAGACATTGTGTAATATCTTTATTCCTATGTATACACTACTGTTTATTAGCAAGACTACCATAAAATCACAGCCTTACATGCATGTCATATTTCTGCTTACTATATATTTCCATGTAATATAGGCATTATTTACATATCATTCTATTTTTGTCATAAAACTCATTTTCCGGAAAGGTTCGTTTCGCAGCCCATTCTTTAAAGAATTTAGTCAGTAGCCTCATTTTGGCTATTTCCGGTTATGCAAGTAAATGGCGACAGTTTTTCGCATTGCAATCATAAATTATATCATCTTTTCTCTAAATTGTCCGACGTGTAACGATGTCGAACAACATTGATTTTGTATAAAATGAGATTTATAGTAATCATTGGAATTATACTGCATTAAGAAGCCATCGTTTAACTCAGACTGTCAACTTGCAGAAGCCTCAAACGTAACAACAAATGTCAGAACTGTTGCTATTTTAAATATAAAACGACAAAGACAGAGAATAACCAGTTTCGATTATCTGATTCTAATTGGGGTGAAAGGCAAAAAAGAAAACAAAAACAGGGTTGTAAATTGTTTGGATGAATCTGATACAAATTACTGAATTTTTCTGTTATGACTTATATCAACAAAAATGCACAGAGTTGCGTCGCTTACGTGTTGAAGAAATCAAGAACAGCGTGTTCGAATTCCTGCTCGTCCGCATTATGATTTATCAGAACCATACCCATGCTCGCGGGTTTTGCCAAAGCGGTAAATATCTGTAGCTAAGACCTACTAACATAGAGTTGTCTCATTAAGCAGGCCGTGATAAAGCTGAAATAATGACTGTCCAAACTCACCCAATGTGTCGAGCACAGTTTGGATGAGATCACAGAGGTTATTTCACCTATATATTGACTCTTTACAATAATGTAAGTTTCTTTTTTATGTAGAGACATGGCGTGATACTATGCATTGACCCACTGAATAGAGCTATATATAAGACGTTTATTGCTAATAAATGTTAACGATTAGATATTTCGCTTGAGTGAGACGAGAGACAGTATCGTCTGCTCGCGAGCTGGGCCGTAGGAGTTATAACGTGCACAAAACAAGGCCAAATAGCATTGAAATTCATCGATTAAAGTCTTGACTGATATGCAATGCTCACCTCGCCCGACCTGTTTGCACAGCCGATAACCCGGGTGTTGACACATCGCTTTCACAATCCCGAACGTTCTCATAAATAGACAGCGTGTTTAGCGTGGAGCTAAGATGGCGAACATTCAGTTATATCACTTTCCGGGAAGCCCGCCATGCCGTTCTGTCCTCATGACAGCCAAGGCCCTTGGTGTACCACTCGAGCTGAAACCACTCAGCTCCCTCAACAAAGATCATCTTAGCCCCGAGTTTTTAAAGGTGAGTACCCCACAGACACCCGGATTAGAATAGGTCCCCTGTACCCGTCTGCTGGTCGTTAGAAAAAACTAAATGGGATGGGGCGGTCACGCTCTCAATCAAATTATCAGTCCTTGTTCGTAACAGTCTTGGGAATCATTCATGCCATACAGTCCCTTTCCTTGCATTGTCACACTACATGTATTCCAAGGAAGAACGGGTCCCCAATGTACCATGACGTACTGACACAGGACCAAGTGGCCAGATGTCATGCCCCGATGGCGTCAATCGTTCATGTTTTCAGTCGCTGGTTTGTCTGACCATCCCGTGATACAGCTGAAATGATACTGCGGCGGTAGACAACATTACCTTTTTTACTTCAGTCACACCGATGAGTGTAAACTGATCTAACCCTATAGGAATATATTGCGAGAGAAGCTGCTGAAAATACCTTACTGAACTTTCTTATTCAAGAAGTTCTATTAAGCATGCATCTATAGAATGGGTCTGCTACTAACACGCCCCATCACTACGCCTTCCTCAAATTAAATATATTTTGCATGGAGCATAAAATACGTTGATAAAGTGAAAATTTTCTGTCCTGGTATCATCACGATTTGATAAAAAACCCAAAACAACCCACATGCTTATGATAAAGTCGGAATCGTACGTACACAATCGCTTTTGGTAGAGATTTCTAATGAGTATTGAAAGGCTTTTATCGCTTGTATTAAGGTCCTGGGTGCAATTTGACATTTGCATGCATGTTAAATCTTGCGAATATCAGTTCGTCAACAGTCATCGTGAACAGCATACTTCTTTTTCCAAAGAGGCAAAGGGAATATTCAATACTACTTGTGTACAGGTCTTGAAAATAGAATATGGATGGGGGACAGATCTCGTCATTAGTGGAAACTTTCGTCAAACGAAATGTCTAAAGGAACTTTTCTATGTGAAGGACTTAGTCCCCCGTTGCCGTCACTCGATGTGGATATCTATAGAGATGATGCAATAATGTGATATTTGTGGACTTGATGACATCTGGCACATAAGCAAACATTCATCCTGTTTGCACTACCATATTTGTAAAACAAGACCAGTAATACTTTTACATGACCTCTAAGTAAATTAATTCGTGATTATAATTACCCACATGCGTAAAAGTCTGAATGTGAATAAGGTTTTAAGTTTGGATGAGTGAGTGAGTTTCATTTTACGCGCTTTTAGCAATATTCCAGCAATATCACGGCGGGGATCACCAGAAATTGGCTTTACACATTGTACCCAGGTCGGGAATCGAACCCGGGTCTTCGGCGTGAAGAGTGAACGCTTTAATTACTGGGCGAGTATCAATGGACTATTTTGTAAAACCAATAAAACTTCGTCAACTCGAACTCTATGCTCTGGGAATACGTATGAAGACGATGTTTGTGATGACCTCGGGACGCTTATCATTGGCAGAAAGTCTACTGGCGGCACCCTGTTAGTCTCCAACTATTGGTAACACGTTTAACACACGCCCCAGGCGGGGCATTCGAACTGACGCCCCACGTTCCACTGCAATTCGAAATCATCCTACCATTCAATCAGTATGTCGACTGCAATTAAAGATTTGATCGTCATTTTATATATCTTTGAACATGGTCTTTTACAGGATATATTCCAGGGTAATGACACATATAGAGGTGTTGCGACAGCGAAGTCGAATACTGTCGAGTCACACGTTGACTTTTTTGTGGCAAATAGCAACGGTAGCGATAACCCAGATATTGGGTCGGGGGTGAGTTTAGTCTTGTCCTTGCTTACATAAAACTGTGAAAAGATAACGGGTTTGACACATAACAACCGTGCTAACCTCCCGTAGCCCCTTTGTCAGCACTCGGTGGACTTTGATACACGTTCTTGTTAGGTTATAGCTTAAGACTATGCTTGTGATGTATGATCTGTATTTCATATTGTATTCAATAACTGCACGAGGGTAGAAGCATCTAGCATCAGTAACAGTCAAAATAACTGTCCTTGTTATCAACGGCAGTGAAACCATTCATGTCACACCACAGTAATGTTCACACATACATAGGTAAAATGCTATCTGCAGTAACGAACTTTCAAAGGATTGTGACCTGGCAACACGATAATAGTAATCAACAAGTTGATGATTAGGCCGCAGTCAATACGAAAGCTTGTAAATACTCTACTCCTCGACAGGCAAACCAGAGGCTAACAGCATGAGCACGCTGTCCGCATATGATGACAGACACAAACGCCATATCATTCATTGTCACCATCTAGTCATCAGTTTAGTTGGCTATAAGGACGTGTATGGCTAGATTGGGACCTATTCTGACTAGATTCCTTACTGGGTCGGTATTCATTCAACTCTCCTATACAGTGTGTCCAGTAGTACATTTCCAAATTATCTTACATTGTAAATGGGTAGAGTAGGTCTTCAGCAACACATGCTTGCCGTAAAAGGGGACTAAAGGGGTCGGGTGGTCAGACTCGCTGACTTGGTTGATGCATGTCATCGTATCCCAATTGCATGGATCGATGTTCATGATGTGTCACTGGATTGTCTGGTCCAGACCGCCTTCATATAGGTGGAACATTGCTGAGTGCGGCGTTTAACAACAAATAAACAAATAAACAAACAAACAAACAAACAAAGTTAATGGTATACAATGAGTGAGTGTAACGCTGCTTTAACATAATTTCAGTCAAATGACGTTTTAGCTAAATGTGGCAGTGACTGACATACTAGAATGTCTACTCCTGAATTTAGTTCCAGGTGTTACTATCAAAAGCCATTTATGTGTTATCTGACTGATAGTTTGAAGCATACGTATCATTGGTCAAACAACTTTTTTTGTCAGAACCATGTCCGTAAATGTGGGGGGGCGGTCGGGTAGCCTAGTGGTTAAAGCGTTCGCTTCCCGACATGGGTACAATGTGTGATGCCCATTTCTGGTGTCCCCCGCCGTGATATTGCTGGAATATTGCTAAAAGCGGCGTAAAACCATACTCACTCACTCACTCACTTAAATGTGGTTTTAACAAAGGGTTGAGCGTCCGTGTCCTGCGCCTCTTTAGGCTTTCCTCAACATTGAATGTGGCGTGCTGTGATGTAACCAAAATACTGTCATATTTATTTCAGATAAACCCGGATCACACTACCCCAACAATTGTAGATGGAGACTTCACCCTGTGGGAGAGGTGAGGTCACAAAACTGTGTATTTCCTAAGTCAAGGCAAAGCAGATTTTCCGTCCATCCCTCTTCTGTAACAATCATCCACTGATTGAAATGGACCGCAATAATTTACAATGACTGGAACACTCGGTCTATCTTCGGCACACTTAACGACGACTGAAACACTATTTACATCCTACCACTAGAACCTATTCTTGCATTGATCTGTCACGTGAAGATTTAAATGGTTGGCATGCAAAAAATCATAAATGTAAATCATGGTCTGATATCGACTGCAACAACTCAATCTTCATAACGCAGTTATGATCCTGAGGGTTCTAAAACTATTTTTTCTTTCTGAATTAAAAAATAACCTTGGAAAGCTCATGTCACTGCAACATTGTTCATCATTATTCATAGCTGAAATCATATTTAGAAACAATTTATAACATTGTTGATGACGTAATGCCATCTGTTATGTAAAGGAGAATGTCGGAAATCTATTTTCGCACGTGAAGTTTGTTCGAGGCCGTTAGGCGAAAATAATCGCGGGATTGAGGACTTTCTCCTGCTTAAAACAAAGTTCGATCAAGTTAATGTCCCAAACTAATCTTCAAGTGATGTTCACTATACTATGCTATACTATGGGAGGGTGACCGCTCTTGTTTAACTATGGGAGGGGAACCTTTCAAGGAAAACCATGGGACGATTTAGTACCCATACTCAAACTATTGGAGTGTTAGCAAAATCTATCCAACTGTCATTAAAGTTCACGTAACTTTGTTTCAACCCTATATCAAATCATGTGATCATGATCTTGTGAAAACTGTCATATGTCACTGACTAGCTACTTGGTTCATGCATGTCCCATTTGCGAAGATCGTTGCCCATGATGTCAATCAGAGAATTGTCTGGTACAGACTAGGTTATTTAAAGACATCCGTCATGTAGCTGGAATATGTAGTGCAGCGACAACCAACAAGGTTTACAGCAACCCACGCTTGTCGTAAAATGCGAATATTCTTGTCGTAAGAGGAGACTAACAGGATCGGGTGGTCAGGCTCGCTGACTTAGTTGATGCATGTCATCGTATCCCAAATAGGTAGATCGATGCTCATGATGTCTGTCCAGACTCGATTATTTGCAGACCGCCGCCATATAGCTGGAATATTGCTGAGTGCGGCGTTAAACAACAAACAGACAGAAAACCCAAAAAACTTTCGAGCCGTGTTTGTAAAATCATGGAATGCATGGGCAAAAGACAATTAGATTGATACTTGGAAAGCTATAACCTCAGTAGGATCACTACAGTCTTCGTGTGTAGTACGGCACAATGTGTAGACCTAGACTTGTAAATGGACCTCCACGGTATCGGGGTCTTTATACTCAATGTACTTCTCCACATTCATTCTGGAAAATTGGTCCCAGGGCTATGTGTGCGGGATCTCACAGTGTATCACATCGCTTACTAGCTGTTGGGACTTGGAAAGCAATAATCTAAGTAGTAACACGGATACTCACTGTCTCTGTGTGAAGCGGAACAAAATGGAGTAGACATCTGTGTAGACATTCCACCTACACACCATCATCCTAGTGGACTTAGTGGCACCCATGTACTCCATGTAGTTATATATATATAATAGGAATATTTGAATTACTGATAAAGACTCTTATTGTTAACAACAGAGACATCACCTGTTATTATATTTCCAACAGGGTGGTGGCACTACGATGAGTCTTGGAAGCCAAATGTAGTGCAAGTACACGTCCATGCATTCCACGTTCTGCAACATGTTCCCGTGAACAACTTGGAGTGAGTGAGTGAGTGAGGTTATACGCCGCTTTTAGTAATATACCAGCAATATCACGGCGGGGGACACTTCAAATGGGCTTCACACATTGTACTCATGTCGGGAATCTAACCAGGGTCTTCGGCGTGACGAGCTACGCGACCACCCTGAACACCTTGGATGAATTGATGTTCGTATGGGAACTGTTAGTGCTTCCTGTTAGTGGTTCCTGAAATTTTATAAATTGTTGGGCATTTAGGGAAAATGATTTTTGTCTGAGATTGTTTGTGTGAGAAATTTACAGCATCGGTGTCCTTATTGGCAAATTGCATATCTAGGTATCAGTGTATAATAGTCTTACGACTGCCACAGACTTGTTACGCAAATCATAGTTGGACAAAAGTGTATGGTGTATGGTATTCAGGAGAGTCTCAAGGCCTCAAGGACGGTTTTTGAGTTGACCCTGTGGAAGAGGAGTTCTAACTCTGTGCAATGACTATTCTGCATTAATGAACTGCAGATGTGTCTTTTATTCCATTTTCATTATATTCGGTATGATGTTGTAACTAACCACTTGACGAAATTGTATCCTCAGCCGCGCCATCATGCGCTACCTGGTGGGGAAGTTTGGGGGTGAGGACAACAGCCTGTACTCCCGAGACCTTCAGAAGAGGGCAGAGGTGGACCGACTCCTGGACTACGATCTGGGGGTCTTCTACAGAACCATGTTGGAGACTCTGGTCAGTACAATGTAATATTGCAAGTTTTGGTAAATCACATGCAGTTCATTACTCTATCAACAAAGACTCTTATTGCATGGTGGATCCCGTCCTGTAGAGCGTGTGAGAATTGAATTCTGTACCTTTAGGTAACAGCAGCCCAACACGCAGGCAGTCCTCTGTCAAGTAGTCTGCAGTAGATTTATCAGGATGGAAGTGTATAATGCGTAATCAAATGATCAATTAGTACCCCGTGTACTAACTCGTGAAAATCCGTATCATATGAGCACTTCCCCATTTCAGATGCTGCCATTAAGAAACAAAACTAAGACGACAAAAGAACAAGATGAGAAGGTCATCAAGGCCTTCGAGCGGATTGATACACAGGTCAAAGATAAGAAGTTCCTCACCGGAAATACCCTCACCATTGCCGACTTTGCGGTGGTAGTTGGGTTTGCAGCTGAAGTCCTCTATCCAGGGGATATGTCCAAGTACCCAAATGCCATGGCTTGGTACAAAAGAATGCAGGCATTACCATACTACAAAGAAGTGAATCAGCCATTTTTTGATTTAGTGGAAAACTTGAAGAAGCAAAGAGCTGAAACGTCGTAAGAAAATAACATAAAACATGAATATAAGCAAATCCATTTAAGTCTACTGCTTGAAACCAAAGAGACCCACAACAATAAGTCAGTAGGAGAGTTTAATATTATTATTATATATTTTCTGTATCTTCCCATCAGTATATATTTCAGAAACATTGTGAGATATCTGATATGCCGTGGAATATATTCAGTTTTACATTTTCAAGTCGACTATAAAATTATGAAACAAAAGGTAATGGCAACTGCATAGACTAAAAGCTTTATTGTTATTTGTCTTTTGTTGTGGTTTATGTTTTAAGGGATCCGCACTTGAGATACACCAGCCCCAATAATGGTCAACACGTGCCCGATAGGGTGCAAGTCGTTGATGGTACCGCTTCAGTGATTACATACATGGCACCCGTGAGAATTCCGGGGTAGAATAGGTCTTCAGCAACCCATGCATGCCGTAAAAGGCGACTATGCTTGTCTTAAAAGGCGACTAACGGGATCAGGTGGTCAGGCTCGCTGATTTGGTTGATGCATGTCATCGATCCCAAATGCGTGGATCGATGTTCCTGGTGTCAATCACTGGATTGTCTGGTCAGACTCGATTATTTCCAGACCGCCGTCATATAAAACGACCATAAAATTACGCCCTAATATCATAAATACAACCAACAATAAAGTTAATTACAGCTTACCGTATATTTATATATGACATAGGCATAATCAATACTGAACCGCAGAAGACACGTCACCATGGATAGATTTATGAGAAGCCTTATTTGTCCAAACACTGTTAACATACAGAGACATATTAAAAAGATGAAACTTGGCAAAATTCATCATCAAGGTTAAAATTAAAGTGTCAAATGTAAAAGTGAAACACAACACTAGTCTCTGAGAAAATGGCATCACAAGACAGTATCTCGTGTGTCAGCCATGTGCATTGATGACTGCCGTGCAACGTCGATACATGGAATGGATGAGGCGGTTGATGAAGGCCATAGGCACTTGAGCCCACACTGTGAGGAACGCCTGACGCACTTCAGCTGCAGTTGTCAGGCTTGGTCGGACGTCATTCAGCCGTCTTTGAATCTCGTCCCCAGATGCTTAATGGGATTTAAATCGGGACTAATCGTTATGCATAGTTCTGATGCCATTCTGCTGGAGGAAGTCTCTTGTTGCTCTCGCAGTGTGGGCACGGGTGTTATCAGGCTGCGGCGACGTGCCAAATGAGGTATGGCGTGTGGTCTCAAGACGTGATCAATGTACCGAGCTGCTGTGACACCATTGCCTCTCCCTGGACCGATGTTCTGGAAGACCCTCTGTGCAAGACCAATTCCACCCCACACCATGATGCTCGGACCACCCCACGAGTCTCTCTCAACAACACAAGCATCCGAATAACGTTCCCCACGGCATCGCCAGACTCGCTATCTGCTATCTGCTGTTGAGATACAGTAACGGCTCTCGTCTGAGAAGAGGACTCTTCTCCACTGCCGGAGGCGCCAATGCTGGTGCTGTGTTGCCTACTGAAACAGGTCCCGGCGATGACGTGGTGTCAGAATATGTTCTCGGTGTGGCCTGTGACACTGGAGGTCAGCTGTAGTGCTGGTGGTCTGCTACCGTTGCTGGAGCCTGTATATGGTCCTTATGTGGACTTGAAATGCATTGGCTACTTGCCGGGCGGTTTGTCCAGCTTGCAATCGTCCAAGGGCTTGGTGTCGCCAATCTTGGCATGTGGTAGCAATTCAATAACAAATGAATGATATCCGATCTGGGTGGATTTCTATAGGGCAAGAAATGGTGGAACGCATGTGCATTTCAATTTGCACGGAACTCACGTAATCGGGTTACCGTGGCCGTTGTTGTGATGCGTTCGGGCGATCGGTTTTATTGTCATCTGCTTTGTTTCTTTATCATCAAATTTCATTTTTCCGGACAAGGTAATGTGAAATTTTAGAAACTTTGACAAAACTTACCCAGATATTTAAATGACAACTTTTCATGCAATGTTACTTGGGGTGACGTTTCTTTTGCGGTTTAGTATATTAATCGGATCGACATTGATTTTATATATTGTGATATTTGAAGTCATCATTCGGAAACATGTTGCAATAAAAAGCCATCGTTTTAGACCCGACTGTTTAATTGATGCCTCAAACATAACCATCAAATGTCGTAAATGATGCTACCATAAATACTGTATATACTGTCAACGCTAGAGACTAATCATGTTCGTATATCTTCCCAAACAAATCCCATTGGGGACAAAATTACTGAATTATTCTGTTATGGCCGATATAAAAAATAAGGCACTGAGTTTCGTCCCTTAGCCGCTCTGGAAACTTATTATCGCGGGTTAGCCCTGATTTTGTTTCCAGGTTTGTCAGCACCACACCCGTGCTCGTGGATTTCGCCAAAGTGGTAAACACCAACGAACTTCATCACATAGAGTGTTCCTTTCACTTCAAGCTGTCATGCCATGAAATAAATGTTCAAAACGGAGTTCAAGCAAACTCAATTTGATCACAGAGTGTGTGAGTGAGTGAGTGAGTATGGTTTTACGCTGCTTTTGGCAATATTCCAGTAATATCACGGCGGGGGACACCAGAAATGGGCTTCACACATTGTACCCATGTACAATGTGTGAAGCATTGTACCCGGGTCTTCGGCGTGACGAGCGAACGCTTTAACCACTAGGCTACCCGACCGCCCCTTGATCACAGAGATTACTCAACCTTCGATGGGCGTTCAATAACTTTGTAACTTGGGCATTTGTGTTGACACAAACAATGTCAACTTGTGGCAGGTGTGACACTAGTCATAACATCAGGTTGACACGTGTCATAACAAGTTCTAGACACAACAATCAGTTAGATGTGATGGCTTCATTCACCTAAGGGTGGTCACAATCATGGATTCTCTCAAATATGAACAACGCTCTGTAATAAAGTTCCTTACATGCTCCGGTTCACAAGTCGAGAATTGCACAGGCCGCCTTTGGTGAATGTGGATTCGAACAGCTAAATCACCCACCCTACAGCCCAGACTTAGCCCCAGTGACTATTTCCTGTTCCGGCAAATGAAATTGCCCTTCGTGGAAGACGCTTCGAGGATGACGGGGACATTAAAACTGCCACAGAGGCGTGGTAAGAGGGCCAATCTGCAGATTTCTATAAAAGTGGTATTAAAAGCTTGAGGGACAAATGGAAGTGTATTGAGGTGAATAGAGATTATATTGAAAAATAAAAGTGCAAAAGATATTCTGCGACTTGGTCTTATATTGAAGTTGCAAAACGTATTGAACGCCCGTCGTATATTGACTTTTATCAGTTCCATATGATGTGATACTATGCATTAACCTAGTTGATTCAATCTAAATGTTAGACTTGTATTGCAATATAAAATGATAACTATGAGTTATGTCGCTGGAGAGAGAACAGACAGATCGTCTGCACACTGGGCCAGAGGTGTCGTTTGCTAGCACATCAAATTATCATCGGAAGTGTTAAGAAAGTGAGATCACGAAATAACGGGAAAATCAGATATCATGGGAAAACCCCGGCTAACTCCCTGGATGCCGAGGGGATCCAGAGGTTAAAGTGTAAGGTGATTCGCCTCTCGCTCGGACTGTTGATACAGCCGATACCCCGCATGTTGACACTACACTTTCACAATCTCCAGCCTGCTCAGACATAGACAGGTCAGCGTGTTTTGTGTGGAACGTGGCCTCCGCTGACATGGCGGACATTCAGTTGTATCACTTCCCGGGAAGCGCGCCATGTCGTTCTGTCATCATGACGGCCAAGGCTCTTGGTGTACCACTCGACTTGAAACCACTCGACCTCATGAACAAAGATCATCTTAGCCCTGAGTTTGCAAAGGTGAGTACCCCACAGGCGCCAGGGTTAGAACAGGGATTCTGTACCCTGTGCTGGTCAAAGATGAAACTAAATCGGATGGGTCGGTCAATTTATCAGCTATCTATAGAGGTGATGCAATAATGATATATTTTGGGACATGATGACATCTTTCACATGAGGAAACATTACTCTGTTCACAAAACTCGAAATAGGGATAAAGACGATGTTCTCAATGACCCCGTTACTCTTTACATATTCTTGGCTCAAAAGTCAACGCACGGCGCGCTAATAGTCTCTGACTATTGATAACACGATTAATACACGCCCCACTAGGACCATTCGTCACCACTCGCCCCTTTCCGTAACCTGCAAGAGGACTCGTCCCCCAATCGATGAATGTTATGTGCGAAAATACGACAAACCAATCAGAATGCGCGTATGATTTCAATTTCTTCGTCAAAGAATCCCTCAGAAACAATTTTTGATTTAACATATATCTTGCATCTAAAAATATACCCAAGACACAGTTAAATGTGGTCAATCATACTGTATAATTCCGCATGTCCCGATGTGCTTTAAATTGCATCTGAAATATTTATTATATATGGGGAAATATATGGGAACCATTACTCAACGAGTTGACAATTGTTTTAGTATGCCCGTTTGCGCTAAGACGGAACCCGGTCGCAAAAATGGCCATGAGAGGGGCACGAGTCGCTATTCGGCTTGTCCCGGAATAACACGAGTTGGTCACGAATGCACTAGGACTTCAAACTGACGCCCAAAGTTCCACTATAATTCGAAGTCATCCTACCATCAAAATAAGTATTTGCTCGAAGCGGGAAAAAACATGCGACTCTGTATGTTGCATGAACACAGTCGTATTACAGGATTTATTTTAGGCTGATGGTGTCGCATACATAGAGCGGGTTGAATTCCGACAGCGAAGTCGACCTGGGTCATAAGCCTGACAGCTTACCTGTTTGTGGTACATAGCAAAGGTAGCCATGAACAAGATAACCCAGTTTCATTTGAAGGACCGTCGTAAGAGGAGACTAACGGGATAGGGTGGTCAGGCTCGCTGACTTGGTTGATGCATGTCATCGTATCCCAATAGCGTGGTTCTGTACTCATGATGTCAATCACTGGATTGTCTGGTCCAGACTCGATTATTTACAGACCGCCTTCATATAGCTGGAATATTTCTGAGTGCGGCGTTAAACAACAAACAAACAAAATAAATGCATGCGAGTAGAAGCATCTAACTCAGCATCAGTAACATTCAAAATAACAGTCCTTGTTATTAACGCTAGTGACAACAATTCATTGTCACACCGCACAGTAACTTTAACATTAGACAGTAAACTACGGTTATAACGAACTCAAAGGGACTAGTAATTTTAGTTCGTTATAACCGTAGTTCGTTATAAGCATATATACAACATAACTACAGCAAATAGTCGGGACCAAAAAATAAGTTCGTTATATCCATCAGTTCGTTATAAGCGTGTTCGTTATAACCGTAGTTTACTGTACATGTGTAAATTTTAGCAACAAGAAAAATGTGTTTGAGTCTCGGGCCTTTTTTTGGTATATACTCCCCGTCGTTCTGACCTAGGTGACCTAGATGTGGTGTTGTGAGCAAAGCACTACAAAACTGGGACTGGGGTCGGCGTGTCATTAGCCAAACTTCAGTACCTAGTATACAATGGCAACTAGACACCAGTCAACAAACAGCGGACTTCGGGCGAGTAGGTGATTTTTCAACCGCAGTCAATACGACTACTTGTAAACACTCTACTCCTCGCCAGGCATACCAGAGGCTGACAGCATGATCACGCTTTCAGCCTATGTTAATAAAAACACAATAAGCCAGATCATTCATTGTCACCATCTAGTCATCAGTTTAGTTAGCTCTTAGGACATGTATGGCTAGATGGGGACCTGTTCTTACTGGATTCCTTACTGGGTCGGTATTCATTCAACTCTCAATGGTATACTGTGAGTGTAACGCTTCTGTTGTCATTTCAGCTTCATGAGGGAGTAATTTAAGTCGTTGAGAGTTGACACTGAATTTTATTCTAGGTTGTACCAATACAAACTATTTATGTTATCTGACTGTAGTTTGGTATCGTTTGTCAAGCCACTAAGCATTCAAAGATAATGAGAAGTGCTGACAATACTTTAAAATAATACCAGTTTAGTGGTAGGGCGTTTGATCTAAGGCTTTCCTGCTAGTGTTCGGTTAATACAGGATTTAAATTTCAGTGTCCATCTTATTATGATCTTTGGTTTGTGACCCTCACCCCCTTCACCACCCCACTCTCCCACCAACCCCACACTCACACATCCACACACACCTCCCATGGGGATTCAGGGTCCGAATCGAATTGGTCCCAAACAACCTATACAGGTCATAAGAGGCGAGGGGGCACGGGTGGACCAGTCGTCTAAGGCGCCGCGATTCGCTGTGCAGAGTTGCGTCCCTTGGGCACGCCAGAAACCTATGATTGTGGGTTCGAATCCCGGTTCGCCCCGATTATGTTTCTAGGTTTGTCAGCACCATACCCGTGCTCGTGGGTTTCACCGAAGTGGTAAACGTCTGAGACCTGCATCACTTGGGGCTTTCCTCCCACATTAAGCTGACACGCCGTGATATAACGGGAATACTGTTAAAAGCGGCTTTAAACCCAACTCACTCACTCATAAGAGGCGACGAAATGCATCGGGTCATCATGCTCGGTGACACGGTGGGTCGCGAGTTTATTGTACTTTCGGTGTTACAGATTCGTGAGATTTCTCTGGTTTAAACCATGTAATGATTGATACTTAAAGGCTCTATAAGTTTGGCCTGTTTTGCACTATGTAGTAAGTTATAGCTGTGTCAGTTGTCCTTGTTTAGGATGACCAGTGAAATGCTGCCTCAGAATCACCTGCAAGGACAATAGCATGACGTCACCGTAATGTTTTTATGTTTAAAAGGGCATTAGGCCCAATTCATGCACTCACCCAATCATGTTGTTTATGAACTTATATTGTAACATTTCAGATAAACCCGGATCAAACCGTCCCAACAATCATAGATGGAGACTTCACGCTATGGGAGAGGTAAGGTCACACAACAGAAGTACATTGCCAGTCAAGGCAAAGTAGATTTTCAGTCCCCCTATCTCCTGTAACAACTATCCACTAATTGAAATGGAATTCAGGACCAACCGTAACAAATTGATTTGGACACTCTATCCCTATGCAGATTTATCGGCAACTGAAACACATATTTACATCTTGCCACTGGAACGTATTCGTCAGTTGATCTGTCTCAAAGTGTTTTTGTTTTTGTTGTTGTTTTACGCCGCACTCAGCAATATTCCAGCTATATGTCGCCGGTCTGTCAATAGTCAAGTCTGGATCAGATAATCCAGTGATTGATAGCATGAGCATCGAACCACGCAATTCGGATACGATGACATGCATCAACCAAGTCAGCGAGCCTGACCACCCGATCTCGTTAATCGCCTCTTACGACAAGCATAGTCGCCTTTTACGACACGCATGGGTTGCTGAAGACCTATTCTATCTCGGATCGTCATTGGTCCTAGTGTCAACGAAAGAGACATCACATGTGGTTATATGATCAGCAGGTTGGTAGCAGAATGATGAGTCTTGGAAACCAAAGGTTGTGGAATTTACATCCATGCAGTCCATATTATGCAACATATTCCCATAACTGAACAATCTGGATGAAATGGCGTGGTATAGAAACTGTTAGTGGTTCCTGAAATTGAAATATTTGGAAAAACTGTTTTTTTTTGTCTGCGAATGTTGCAGCACATTCAGGAACATGATAAGTGTAACATCGTCTTATGACTGTCGTAGACCTGTTACACAAAGCATCCTTAGCGCTAAACATATGGTAAGTCAATGGTCAGTGGTATTCAAGACACTCGTAACTCTATGATTGGTTTGTCAAGATGACCCTGTGTTCCGGGGAAACCCATTGAAGTACCCTGTGCAATGAATTATCTACATATGAACTGCGGATGTCTTTAATTCACCACTGGACTTCAGTACTTCTTTCATTGAATACTGTATGATGTTGTTACTCTCACCACGTGACTATGTTATATCCACAGCCGCGCCATCATGCGCTACCTGGTGGCGAAGTATGGGGGTGAGGACAACAGCCTGTACCCCCGGGACCTCCAGAAGAGGGCAGCGGTGGACCGACTCCTGGACTATGATCTGGGGGTCTTCTACAGAGCCATGATTGAGTGTGTGGTACGTACACATGAAATGTTGCATTTGTGTTGTTAAACCACATGTTGTTGCTTACTCTACCAACAAATAGACTGTCATTGCCTGGTCGATCCTGTCAGGATTCCGGATACGTATAGGTCCAGAGTACCTCATGCATATGATATGAGAATTGAGTTTTGTAACTTTTGGTTATAGCAGCCCAAGATACAAGCAGTCGTGTGTCAAGTAGTATACAGGATATAGTTAATAGGACGAAAGTGCACAATGCGCGATGAAATTACGATCTAGCATTGCCTAATAACTCGTAGCTTTGCATCTATAAATGACCAAGTATTTAGAAGTGGACAAACACTTTGGACAAACACATACGATGAGTAAAAGTATTAGGAATCCTCATTCGCTCATGACAATACGTCTCAAATGAGTACTTCCTATTTCAGTGGCTGCCGTTCAGAGACAAAATTAAGGTGACAAAAGAACAAGACGAGAAGGTTATCAAGGCTTTCGAGCGGATTGATACACACGTCAAGGATATGAAGTTCCTCACCGGAAATACCCTCACCATTGCTGACTTTGCGGTGGTAGTTGGGTTTGCAGCAGAAGAGCTCTATCCAGGGGATATGTCAAAGTACCCAAATGCTATGGCATGGTACAAGAGAGTACAGGAATTACCCTATTACAAAGAAGCGAATCAATCATATTTTGAATTACTCGAAAAATATCAGATTGGAAAATCTGAAAAGTAAAACATTGAAAAAACATAAATATGTGCAGATCCATGAAAGTGTACGGATGCAAAAAGAAGAGACGTCACATCAATATGGCAGTAGAGGAGTTTATTGTAGTGTCAGTATTAAATCATGAATCTGCATAAACCAAAGATGAACTCAATTTTTACTTAAGTTTTAAAATATTTCTTATCACAAATTACTCACAATCATATTGAAATACAGTACCCGTAATGAAGTATCTCATGTATTGTAACTGATGCATGGCAATAGATGATTGAATTGATACCAAATGTCTCTCTAATTTATACCCTAGCTTACCGTGCCATACACGATCAAAGGCTTTTGGTAGATCACAGAATACAATGAAATAGAAATGAATTGATTGCTTATTAGTTTTTCAAATGATTCCCTCCGAAGTCGACACACTGCCAACGATTCTGAAGTGCCAGGATCTCTCTGATGTTGAAGGTTGCCTCCTAATGGTATAAAAAGTCCTCCACAGCAGAAATACCATCATCATCATTTTAGAGACCCGTGAAGATGCGGTGTCTTCAGCAGCCCATGCGTGTCGTAAGAGGCGACTAACAGGATCAGGTGGTCAGGCTTGCTGTCTCGGTTGATGCTTGTCATCGTATCCCAGTTGCGTGGATCGATACTCATGATGTCAATCACTGGAATACTTTCCCAGACTCGACTATTTTCAGACCGCCGTCATATAGCTTGAATATTGCTGAGTGCGGCATTAAACAACAAACCAAACCAAATGTAAGGTAGACATTTCAATTGACCAAAGTGATATCCAATGCAATTTTCCTATTTGAAACTTGTAACATATGTTCCCGAGTTTACAGTTTACAGCTGAATGATTGACTTGCCCTTGCAGGTGTTTGTCATGGTTATCACCGTTGCGGGATACGCTCACCTCTTAGGGGACATTTGGTATCATAACTTTTATATGTTGATTCATAAGCACATTCGGAATCTTACAATGGAGTCTGCTTTCAGCAGAGATTCCATATGATAATGAAAACGTTTTGTCATTAATAAAATCAGAATTACTATCAGACACTACAAGGTTGATTGATCAGTTCTGAACATCATATAGTAAAACTTAACCTAAATATATATTTAATCACATATTTTTCAACAGAATCCCCATCGACATTGAAAAGCTTTTGAAAGTCCTTATCTTGGCTGTCCAAAAAGCACCCCAAAAAGCTATGACGTCATCGTTCGAGTCAAAATGGGTTCCGACTTGAGCTTTCTTCATGTTTCGGGGTCAGACAGAAGACCGGATCATTCAATTGCAGTATCCTGCACCAATGGCCCTCGTGGTATACACAAGTTGGAGAGGGGCTCTGCCACACTCTCCCAAAACCATAGGATTGTTTGTTGTTTTACCCGTTTAAAAAAAACCATTTACACATTTTATTCTGTACATTTTCAATAATTTCACAATATGAAGTACCCCATACTTCTGCATCATAACAAACTATAGGCGCCACCACAGCATCAAACATATTAAATAAATCTTGACAGGGTATATCACCAGCTTTCTTTTGTTATCTGTATAATGTCATAATGGCCTTTTTGCTCTGCGCAGCAAGAGTAGTTAGGGCCTTAGTTCAAACAAGTTTAGGCGTGAACGCAATACCAAAATATCTATAAAAGACACAGTTTCAATATATACACTATTCAATTCCCATTAGGGGCGGTCGGGTAGCCTAGTGGTTAAAGCGTTCGCTCGTCACGCCGAAGACCCGGGTTCGAATCCCGACATGGGTACAATGTGTGAAGCCCATTTCTGGTGTCCCCCGCCGTGATATTGCTGGAATATTGCTAAAAGCGGCGTAAAACCATACTCACTCACTCACTCACTCAATTCCCATTGTTCATAATGTCTAAGTGGTCCGCCATTTCTGAATACCATAACTTTAGTTTTCTTCAAATTTACAAATTTCTCAGCAGAAATCTTATTTTGTAGATTTAAAGGTGCATGAGCAATAGATGACACGTCATCAGTAAACATAAGTGCATATATTGCTGGACAGTTAAGTAACAAAGGCGGTTTGTTCTCCATAAATGTCTATAAAAAGTTTATTTATGAATATTAAAAACATCTGTGGGCTAAGTATGCATCCTTGAAAGGTACCTTTATTACACTTAGAATATGTAGATAATCCAGTAGGTGTTTTAACACTGGCACACCGTTTATCATACATTGATGTAATAATAGGCTAAATAAGTCCACACACAATGATGATGATTTGAAGATTTTACGTGCGCTTTCAGACACCAATATCAGCCAAACTCTGTCACAGTGTATTGTGATCAAACTTATCGAAAGCTTTTTGGAAATCTACAAACGAACAGTTGAACCTTCCTTTCTTTTTACTAGCATACTTTTGGATAAAAGCCTGTAATTAAAATATATGATCAGTCGTGGAAAACTTGGGTCTAAATCCAGCTTGAGATTCATCAATGATATTGTTATCATCACACTATCTCTGTAAACACTTTGCACGGTATTGTGGTATCAATGGGTGATAACCTCTATCATTGTTGGCATCATTCATATCACTAGACTTGAACAGAGAACATAAATCTTGAAAGTTACCACTCTAAAAAAAATGTATTAAATATAAAGACTAAAATTTGTTTAATATTGTTTTTTCTATGGACAGCAATACCGTCAGGTCCAGGAGATATATTATTCCCAAGCAGGTTTATGTGGCTTGATATTTCTTGTGCTGAAATATGGTTGTTAATTGTCAGATCATTATTGTCAGTGATATGGTACATACTGCCATCAGTTGCAAGATCCTGCCTGAAAAGACGAGACGAAAAGTGGTTAGTCCATTGTTCAGCATTGATTGATTGAGAGACTGCATTAAATGGTTTACGATCCTTGAGCAGTTTCCAAAACAACTTTGGGTTGTTGTTTATGCAGCAATCAGTTTTTCTCTCTAAGCTTAAAAACGAGCATTTTAAACCTTGATCAAAGTGACGAATATGTGATGTCTTTATTATATATATATACTGCAGGTATCAAGGCTCACGATTCTGCTCAAATGCCGTGTTATTTGCTTAAAAACGGGCATTTTAAACCTTGATCAAAGTGACGAATATGTGATGTCTTTATTATATATATATACCGCAGGTATCAAGGCTCAAGATTCTGCTCAAATGCCGTTTTATTTGCTTAAAAACGAGCATTTTAAACCTTGATCAAAGTGACGAATATGTGATGTCTTTATTATATATATATATATATATATATATATACATATACATACACACACACACACACACACACACACACACACACATATATATATATATATATATATATACCGCAGGTATCAAGGCTCAAGATTCTGCTCAAATGCCGTTTTATTTGCACTGGATCCGTTTGCATTTCAGTTATTTTCTCAACTCCCTGTGGATTATACAGCCCAAGATGTCTAAGGTCCCAAGAAGGTTCATACATCCACCTCACATGTGGGGTACCCAATCCCTGCTGGGTACAGAGCCACATTAAAACTTAATCACTTGCAAAGGGTGACACCACACGTTCTGACACTTGTGTTTCGGGTGTATGTACGTATTCGTGTTTCCACCATCTGGTCATCTACCATCGGACGCGTGGGTTCCTTTGAGTGCACATGGTGTATGTACTATGTGCGCTAGGGGTAGTTACATCACTGTAAAGACCTGTAACCATGGTTGGTCCCAAGGCTAATAACAACCGGGTCACAAGCGGGATACGATCGCAGCACCAGGCTCTTGCTAGGCTGGCGCTTTTGACGGCTTTCTTTAACACCTTCATTCCACACATATTTCTCCAAACGCCTTCCACTTTCCTTTTCTATTTTACAGTTAGAGCTACTCCTTGTATTACCTGGGGCCGAAGGTTGATTACATTTACAAATGATTGGAGTGATCCTGTGTACCGATCCCAAAGTTGGTGAAACATGGAAAGTTTTGTTTGTTTGTTGTTAAACGCTACCCTCAGCAATATTCCATTTATATGACGGCGGTCTGTAAATAATCGAGTCTGGGCCAGACAATCCAGTGATGGACATCATGAGCATCGATCCACGCAATTGGGATACGATGACATGCATCACACAAATCAGTGAGCCTGACCACCCGATCCCGTTAGTCGCCTCTTACGACAAGCATAGTCGCCTTTTACGGCAAGTATGGGTTGCTGAAGACCCGTCCTACCCCGGAACTTCACGGGTCGAAATATGGAAAGAAAGAGGAGGAGGCAATCATGTAGTCTACAACACTTTATCCATAATGTGTGTAACATAGGAACTCAACACTTGCCATTCAATGACAGACAGACAGACAGATTTATTTCAGTGTACAGTGTTACACACATTACCAATGGTGTGTGGTATAGAAATTTAAAATGCACAAGAATCATATATTCTGTAAAATCACTTTACATTAATCATGCAAACTGGGAATATGATAACTTCTCAAAATATGAACACCAGCTGTTAGGGAAGATAGTGTTGTCATTTTCATTTTTTTTACTGAGTAATGACTTTATATGTTGCCAAAATAAGTTGCAATTATTTTTTCCAGCACAGCACCATTTATGTTTTCACATTCTAATCTATGAAATATTTTCTACTTAGTTACAAATGTTCTTCGGAAATTCGGCTTGTGATTAAGGCTTTGGACATGCTAATTTTGGTGCTTTTAGAAGATGTGCACCTGTAAATTTCAAAAGCTTACATAACTTTACTGCTGCGGAATTAACATCCTTATAGACACAACTTTCGATTATCTCTGTTGCTTGAGGTGTGGAAAAGTTGACAATAAAAGTTAAATAAATCTTGGAATATTAAATGTTTTCCTTGTATTACAGACCGCTTCTCTCGTGGTAGTGCGTCCGGCCGCGCCATACCAAAAGACGTTAAAAGATGGTACTTGTTATTACCCTGTCTGACGCTCGGCATGAGGGGATAAAAGAAGGTCTGGTCGGCTCGGAGTCAGTATACTGTGTCTGAGTGGGGTATTCATGTTAAACTGCGGCATGGTATCTCAGTGAGCTAGCACTATAAATCGGCATCAATCCGGACTAGTACAAGCAGCCACACACACACACACACACACACACACACACATGTGCATGCACGTCGCTATATAAGTGCAATAATCTTGGACGCGACGTTAAACCCCATTTCATCTCACCTTGTATCAAAACAATGTTCTATCTTATTTCCATTGGATGTAAAAGTATTGTGTGTCTTCAGACAAACATGGATTCCAACTCCAGCACAACCACACAACACCCCAGACGGTAACGAAGTGATTTATTCGGCGATACGAACTACGTTACATATCGATGTTGGTTCATACACCACTCTGATAGTATACTGAAGCGTACGTAAAATATTTATATCAAGCCCAATGCGTCACCAAAAATAGTGAAGAAGCTGACATGAAATTGGTAAATGATCAGATTCCGTTCTACCGTGTACACTTAAAATCGGTAATATCTTGAAAAACGTTTGAGGAAGCAACAAAATAGTCAAATAAACTGGTACCATTAAGACCAACATATGTGAACCCACCATTTGGATCACTCGGTTTCCTTACCCGTGAAGATC